GGCCACATCTGGATGCACCGCACTGACACGAGCCAGGCCACATCTGGATACACCACTTTTGTCCAGACTTGCTGAAAACAAGTCTGGACAAAAGGTCAGAACTACAAATCTTTTTTATCCATTTAAAACAGTGCTATAAGTTATAAGCTGCAGCTCCGACTGTTTTCAGCCTCCTTCCCTGAAACAAACCACGGTATAAAACCCATTTAGCCGTGATGCGCCTTATGACAGCAACAGAGAGCTGGTGCAGCATTAATAAATCAGCAGCTTATCAAATCGCTAAAGACAACGTTCAAGTCTCAACTGTGGAAGAAGACGGCTAAAGTTAGCTGTCTTGTTAGTCGCTAAGGACCGTGTCTTTAGTGATTTGATAAACTGCTGCTTTATTAATGTCGTGGCATTTCTCACTCTAACACTTAAAAATCTGTGTAGTTCTCCTGTTTCTGCCGGTCCAACTTCACACATTCTCTCCTCCGTTACGTGCTGCTTCACACGCTTTGTGAAGGCGGCGCAGCTGAAGAGGATTATTATTTAATATAAGCAAATAATTTATTTTTTAGACATTTAGTAGGGTTACAGCTCTTTGTTAATAAAGGTGCCTGTGTGACAAGTGGGACAAAGTTTTGACTCAGAAATACATTTTTGTTATTACTTTATGGAAAGAAAATTAATTCATTCAAACTTTATTTATACAGGTTAGTCTCATTTAGCCTCGGGGAATCATTTACAAGAGAGACCTGATTTTAACAAATAATGATGACAACAGTAGACAATAATAAAAGAAAGCATATAAATTGAAAAAATAAATGGAAGAAAATCATAAAAAATTTTTAAAAAACAGCTACCGGTACATTATAAAGAGATGTAAGATACTAAAAACATGAACCCAAAAAAGTTCAATCTGGTCCTCTGGACATTCAAAAAAACACAAAACAAAGCAAAAAAATAAAATAAAATAAAAACGTTTCTTCTCTCATCTGAGAGGCTCCAGCGTCCCCACTAGCTCAGGAGCCAGGCAGAAGGAGAAATCCCACACAAGACAGGCTCTAGAGCAATGTGGATATCCTAACTGGGCCTTCCTGAAAGCAGAAACCCAAACAGGACTCCAGTCAGCATCAGGTGAAAAGGAGGAACCCAGACCCAGACCAGTGGCCATTCCAGATGTTGAGGGAGTATCAGAGAAACTGAGACGTTTATTTTCTAAACATAACGTCCCAGTGGCTTTTAAACCCCAAAATACATTAAAGACTGGTTCATCCCAAAGATCCAGTCCCCCGGCACAAACAGAGTAATGTTGTGTATGCTGTTCAGTGTCAGGAGGGTGATCAGTCTTACATCGGGGAAACTAAACAGCCACTGGCCAAAAGGATGGCCCAGCACAGAAGATCAACATCATCAGGCCAGGACTCTGCGGTCTACACTCATCTCCAGGCCAGCGGTCACTCTTTCAGGGATGAAGATGTTCACATCCTGGACAGAGAGGAACGATGGTTTGAGAGAGGAGTAAAGGAGGCCATCTTTGTGAAAAGAAACCGTCCATCATTAAACAGGGGCGGAGCCTCCAGGTTCAACTGTCCCCCTCTTACAATGCTGTGATTGCTAGTATCACTCAGCCCTCTGTGAACAGTAAACAGCCATCAGGTGCTAATGATCCATTGTTAGGCTGATGGTCCTTCTTGAGCATGTGATCAGCTGGTTTTGGTTGTCAGCAGCAAACTGGTTGATCCACTCTGAGAAGGTGCTATTTAAGAGACTGAGCTGAATACAGCTCCTCAGACTGAGGAAGTCTCTTGGATGAGAGACGAAACGTTTCTAGATTTTTTTGCTTTGTTTTGCTTTTGTTTTTTTGAATGTCCAGAGGACCAGATTGAACTTTTTTGGATTTTTCTACCTGAATTATTGAGCATGCATCAGGATAAAAACAGGAACATGTCTGCATTGGTTGTGCCATGAACTTAGCAGATGTTTGAATAGACTACAAACATGTCTTAAAGACATAAAAACCTGGATGACCCTTAATTTTCTCCTGTTGAACAGACAAGACTGAGGTTTTGGTTTTTGGACCTGAGCACCTTAGGAACGAATGTTTCAGTCTTTCTCCCTCCTTAGATGCATTAATGTGTCCTCCAGCTCTAATGTTAAAAATCTTGGTGTTATTTTTGATCAGGACATGTCTTTTATCCCCCACATTAAAAACGTTACTAGAACCTCCTTCTTCCACCTGCGTAATATCACTAAGATTAGAAACATCTGATCTAAAGATGATGCAGAAAAACTGCTCCATGCATTTGTCACGTCTAGACTGGACTATTGCAATGGTTTATTATCTGGGTGTCCAAATACTTCTTTAAAACGTCTTCAGTTGATCCAAAATGCTGCTGCCAGAGTCTTAACTGGAGTTACTGGGAGAGATCATCTCTCTCCAGTTTTAGCTTCTCTCCACTGGCTCCCTGTCAAATCCAGAATAGAATTCAAAATCTTACTTCTAACCTACAAAGCTCTCAACAACCTAGCTCCATCTTATATTACAGATCTTATTGTTCCATATTTTACTAACAGAGCACTTCACTCTCAGACTGCAGGTTTACTTGTGGTTCCTAGAATTTACAAAAACAGAATGGGAGGAAGATCTTTCAGTTCTCAGGCTCCTCTCTTGTGGAACCAACTTCCAATCTCTGTCCGTGAGGCTGACACATTATCCAGTTTTAAAACTGGGATTAAGACTTTCCTTTTTGATAAATCCTATAGTTAGGGTCAGCTTGGGTTTCCTGAGCTGTCCCTTAGTTCTGCTGCTATAGGCTTAGACTGCTGGAGGACAAACTGACCACACCTTTCACTCTGCTGCTGTCTTTACTTACTCTGCTCAACCTGTTTTGTATTTGTAATTATTTCTATCTTAACTTGTTTTTTGTCTTTCAGATACACCTGGACCTATACCTGGACCTGGACCTATATCTGGACCTATATCTGGACCTGGACCTATACCTGGACCTATATCTGGA